CTTCCCGCCGCCACAGCGGGTCCCCACGCGCCCCTCGCCTGCTTTTTTCAAATTCTGAGCGTTTTTCCTCACAGCCTCTGTGACGAGGTTCAGGGCAAACGGTGCCAAGTGTGCAGAATCAGCAGACAGCAACAGGCAAGCGGGAGCACCCCCACAGCGAACCCCCGTGCCCCTGGGACAGTCTCGAGGAAAGGTACTGAGGGACTTGATCTCAAATTTTTCTGCAAAAAGACTTTTTTTAGAACCCGACTTTTTACGTGAGGGCTGCTGAACAGGCAGGGTGCAGTAACTACGTGTTCAGAAGAGCATTGATCTCCCACAGCGTCGAATTTCAGGTGAAACACTCACCCCTAGGGACGTGTATGGCATTTAATGGCAAGAAAATGGCAGCAGCTGGGTTGCTGGGCAAAAAGAAAATTCTTCCAAAAAACGCAGTCATTTCAACAAACATGATTTTTAGCCATCCTCAAAGAAAGGCTGCTTTATCAAGGAATAAAGACAAAGAGGAATGTCTAATAGGCTTTTACTTTTTGAGAAAAATAAGCTCAGTCCCATATCTGTACTGGAGGGTTAATCAAGTGACCTGTTAAAATCACGTCCCTGGTTTCCATTCTTAAACCAGCTGTTTCTCTTGAAGCCACCGTCACCTTGCCTCCCGTTTCCAAACCTCGAGAACCCTCGTCCCGCCTCCTGGGGGTACTCTTCCAGCTCAGGCAATTCCTTTGCCACCGACAGTTGCCAGCGCCTGGTGTCCTTCCACTGTTCCTGAAACAAAACCAATGTGACGAGACTTCATGTGCCTGCAGCTGTGTTCAAGGTACCCTATAGCATTAAAAGCAACATTTGAATGCAAAGGTGTTCCGTAGTAGCCAAAGAACACGGGATTTTGTTTAATAAAATCAGATAATATAATGAGAACTGAAATGAGAAAGAGGCATGACAGGGTATTTTCTGACTGCTGTGCTCTTTCTAATGACTGTTGTCTATGCAACATCCTTATTAAAACACAAACCTTATCCTCCCAAACCACCCTATATTCAATCCTACATATAGCAATCACCAAATTTCAGGTTCCAGAGCCAATTTTTGCTACAAAAACATACCTGTATGTTACTGAGTTCGCCAACAGGGATATCAAAGCACACCCCCTGTAACAGAAAGGAAAAAAAAAAAAAAAAAAAAAGGCATTTGCTTTTCAAAGATATATCCAAGAATGGAGGCACACAACTCCAGACAGGCAGCACCCGCAAACACTCATACATGCTAAGTGTAGAAACCAGAAATGGCAGAAAGCATGGTCTTTTGGGGGAAGCTTTTTATAAGCTGAAGAAAAAAGCAGGTAAAACTCAAAAGCTCAAAACAAAATGTAGATTCAAATGCTCTGTGCTGACAGCAGCACTGCTTGCAATCAGCTTGTCTGTTTAAAAGACAAGGGTGTCATCTGGCACGACAAGCTCTCCAAGAACACACTTGCACAGGAGATGGTATATAGTGTTAGCACAAGTTTATAATGAAAAAATAGAGGTCACAACAACCACTCCCAGTATATACATATTTCTGATGGGGGTTTTTTGTTTGTTTTTAAGGAGACAATTCCTGTACTATCATTTAGGAGCAATGCATCCCTTCAAGTAAGCATCTTTTAAACACTCAACTAGCTTCAAGGTTGTGGGTTTTTTAACAGTGTACATATAAACAGTTTCAGGGGGTCTCGTGATAGGTTACAATTTTCTGATAAATGAGATTGAGCAGGGATAGAGTGAGGTATCGACATTTCTACACTAGTACTTCAGGACACCTGCCTCAATCACTACTAAAACTGGCCATACATGTACACACACACGCACACACAGAGTCTTACCATCTTCCCCTTGAGGAAGCGCATTGCGGATATTTTGGCATCTACCTCCTCACCAAGCTGTTCTTTTAGTCCTCGCCAGGCATAGCTCATACTACGCATTTCTATTGAACACTTCAACACCATGGTCACGAAGCCCTTCAGGAAACAGAGAAAAAACATTTACAAGACTAAACTTGGCTGGACAGCCTGTAACTTACTAACTAATGAACTATGCAATAACTTGTTATTGTAATGTAGTATTTAATCCTAAGAAAACAACTATCCAAAAGTGAAGCAATTAAAAGCCTCTAAGAAGCTGAAGGCATCCATCTAACCTAGGATTGTCCATTGATATAAAGGTCAATAGCATTTCTGTATTTTAGCCAGCAGCAGAGACACATTTATTCAATACATAAAGTTACCGCTAGAAAAGGGGTAAAAAAACCCCCCAAACTGATACAAGAAGCACAGTCCAGTCACGTGCTAATTCCAAAACTGTGTTACCCCATAACGAACTGGGCCAAGTTCTCCCTAAATGTATCAGAAAGGAAGGACTGTCCTTCTCTTCTGTCAAGATCTCTTTGAAATCAGGTAATCACATTTCAAGACTTACTTGAAATATTATAGATATGTAAAAGCTTCCTGGGAAGGGAAAACTACAACAGCACAAACCAATCTATTAGCTTGTAAAATGTCATTATTAAACTCTCTCAGAGCATCAAAGTCTTCTGTCACTTAGATCTCTGGAGAAATTCTTTTAACTCTCATTACAAGAAAACTTTGCAACTGATTTTGAGTTTCTCTGGTAAGAGCTCATTTCAGTAAAGGAACAAGCAGCAAACCAGAAGAGAAAGACAAGAGCTATTCAGAAGGAGCCTGAGAAGATGCCACACTCGGACTAGACACAAGCAATTCATTTATCCCTTCTTGTTAACACAGGTATAACGTTATTTACCGCAGTCGAGTTGAGTAAGGAGCGCTGCTGTATGTAGGATGCCCCAGAAATATGGGCCAGCGCTGCAGCCAGGGCAGCAACCGCCCCTTTTTCGTCTATGAGCTCTTGAGCAGATTTTCTGAAGTAGTCTACTGCAGAAGGAGGAATGGCCTCCAACAACCTACAAGGTGACAACAAGAGCTTAAGAGTTCCATCAGCAAAGGCCAGTGTGAAGTACAGTCACATTCAAGACATCAAATTACAGACAGCTTTCAAGGTTAACAAATTATCTCTAAAAGCCTCAGATGTAACGCTCACTCTTCATTACCACTCATTTAACTCAACACTTCCAGGTGAATTCCACCTTCTCTGTGCATTAAGCCAAGCCTCTTGACAGAAGTGTTCAAAACTGGGGATGTACACGAGGCATGTTTGAAAGCATTGATAAAAACATCAAGGGAAGGCTCTAAAATTATCAGCATTCTTAGGGCCATACCCAAGAATCCACAATAAAGTGCTGCCAGCAAACCCAAGAATCCCTTGCTTTTACTTCACAAGGAAGAGAAGCAAACCACAGCAATGCCACTGCTGCGCTGGGGCAAGGCACTTGTCACTCTCAGTGAAAGCTGATTAAATTGGTTATTTCTGGGAGAGACAGCGAGAACAAGCTGTGAAACCAAGAACAGCTACTTCTCTAATGCTATTTTTGGTATGCCAGCAACTCCCACCATTTTTCAGTAAGCAGTGAACCCAACACCATGCCCATGATCTCCTTTACAATGCTGAAATCCTCGCTAATTATAATCATCTCTGTCATGCAATTGCCACCAATGGGGCAGCAAATGTTAACAGAGCTGCACGGGGAAAAAACCCACAATCTTTCAGAATAAAATGATACAAAGCTCGCTAATTATAATCATCTCTGTCAGGCAATTGCCACCAATGGGGCAGCAAATGTTAACAGAGCTGCACAGAAAAAACCCCACAATCTTTCAGAATAAAACGATACAAAGAAACACAAGATGTGGCTACAACATCCTTACTACTGCAGAGTATCTCCTCAGTATACTAAGTATTGCTCTTTACACACTGCTACTGTATCATCTGAGCAGACAAAATCAGTTTCCCCACATGACAGTAATTCCCTGTTCTGCTATTGATTTCTGATGATATAACCAAAGGTGATTTTTTGCGAGAACTTTTGAGCACATTATGTTCTGTGAAAAGGTGTATGTTCAATCACACAGAGGTTTACTGATACCATCTTACGAAAACTAGTCAGTGTCTACAAGCAAAGCAGCTGACTCTTATGACATAGGCAAAGACATGCTCACATACAGGTTTGATCCCTTAAAGTTTTGCATCAGCAACGTTGTTGTTGGTAAGAACTCTAGACATCTTTTAAGAACAGGCAAATAAACTTACTTTTTGGCATCATTACTTGAAGCTTTAATCACGTCTGTAGCAGAAGGAACACCTATACGCTTAAATGTAATCCCCTGAAATCAAGACAAGAAGTTACAGTTATTTTCAGCACTCTACAACGCAACCCTACCTAAGTCACACTACTGAGACCTCTAGTCACTTACTGTTCAGAATATTAACAGTCTTTACTCAAATTAAGTTACTTCTAAAGCTAGAATAAAGCTTTTCTTTAATTTCCCATCTTTGTTAATCTGGAGCTACTTTATACCAATTTACACGCAGATTGTAACATGAGGCACAGTCTCCTTCATGTATTCCTGTCACAGTCTGCCTGCTGACAGCAACAGAGTACTGCCAACATGGAGAAACTCATGAGACATTAGAACAGCTCAATACAAAATCATTTACAAACATTTACCAACTATCAACATTTTAGGCCTAGCCTACTGGACTATGGGACATCAGGCCCATACTGGACTCATACAGCCCTAAGCAGCCCAGGGTCACAAGGTCTAACAGTGCCAGAGTCCTTTAGGAGCAGGATGATTTCATGAAGCAGAAGTCTGAAGTTGAACTCACCGCTTTGTGCTCAACCTGCTTCAGAAGATCTTCTTCTCTTCTCTGAAATAAACAAATGCAGATCCCAGTCCGGCCAGCTCGACCCGTACGTCCAGAACGATGGATGTAGGAATCAACATCCTTCAGAAATTCAGATTAACATAAGAAAACCTTATGTCATTTAAACGTTGACATTTATACATTGTAAGAGAGAGAAAATGCAAGCTAAATTCTAACTCAGAAGCCCAAGAATTGATATATTATGGTTCTATACCCAAACTTGTAACTACACACAAACCACTCGGGTTTGTGTACACTACCTTACCCAAGGGTTTAACACACGTTTTAACAAATGCTGCCTCGGGTTTAGCAAACACTATTGACGTAAGTTCTTTAAAGTAAAAAGCTCCACTGGAGTTTCAAAAGAAGAAAAAGGCATTTTAGAACTGTTATGAAACTCAACGTAACAGTGTTCGGAAGGGATTCAGAAATACTGAAACAATATCAAGAGCTATCTTACAACTTTCCAGAGTAACCAAACCCCATCAATTTTACTTTAATCAAAGCTCAAAACATAAAAGCTTAACTAGGAAATTCTACGCCTGTATTTACAAAAAATCCATTGCATTTGTGAATCAGAATAATAATTCTGGTGAAACAAAGAATAACCCACTGTTCTGTCACAAAAGGATAAATTACAATTTTAGTTTCCTCTCATGACTTACTTTTGGTGGTGAACACTGTATGACAAGGTCAACCTCAGGGATATCCAAACCACGGGCAGCTACGTTTGTTGCAATCAGAACTTCAAACACACCACTTCTAAAGCCTTTTAATGTAATTTCTCTCTGTTTTTGCGGAATGTCACCATGCAAAGACTGGGCATCCTGTCAGTGAAACAAACCATTAACATGTTATTTAATACAGGAGTCTAAGCTGCAGCATGTAAAGACATTTAATGACAAAACCCAAAATATTGTGCACAGCAACATAAAATTACACAGCTGATACCAAAGGAATATAAAGCATCCTACTTTGTGGTTTGATCCTTCTCTGGGACAATAATACTCATAAGCAGTTTTATCATAACGTTATTATTTATAGCATATCAACAGCAGACTGTACAATTTGCAGCCTGCCACACCAATAAGGGCCCACTTCAGCTTTCACTTCCACTCGAACAAACAGAAGCAACTTCAGTACTTGCTGCTTGTAAAAAGCTAGCAGGAGACTTTGCTACCTTCCCCAGGAAACCATCCCAAAACACACAGAAGGTGAAATGAGGTTTTCAGGGCATTCGCAAACCCTACAGGTGATCTCAGCAACCTCCACTTTTAATGAGACGAGACAGATCCAAGTGTTTGACAAGGAGAAAGAGCAGAGTCACAGCTCAGAATTCAAACGAGTAACACGCTAAAGCAGAACTTACTAGCATAAGAGAAAAACGCATCACATACTGACACAAGAACAAACTCATTGGATTTACTGTGAAAGCAGCAGGGCCAACAGACCAAAATTGTTCTTGCAAGGTTTTAATATGGATGGTATATGACACACATCAAACACTGGGAAAATCATGTATTCCCACTTCCGCTTTTTTTCCGTAAATTAGTATTTAGTATCAAACAAGATTTTCTCTGAGAAAAAATCCAGCACCTTTCCCCACCATCAAGAAAAGGTTGATAATTCAAGCAAGCATAGAAAACCCGCTCAATATATCACCTGAGATCTGAACAAACTATTTAATGACATTCCAAGGGCAACAGGACATTCCATTCTACCATATCAGTTAGGTTTTCCAGAATACTGACATGAGATGGAATACGTGCACTAGACTAGCTCCCGTTTATTGCCGTTATTACTATCTGCTGGTTGTTCAGCATAAGCTGAATCCATCAATTCTGTCCTGTATGATTTTAGAGCCAAAGAAATAATTACATAATCCCAGCAATTTTAATTGCAAAGCTCTACTTTTAGAAACAGCTTTCATAAGCCTTAAAACCACCCACAGAAACAACTTCATTCACACAGTTGCAATCTCATATTTATTTCAATGCATTCAACCCCTAAATACCCACAACTCTTCAGACCTCAGTACCTGTTTGAGCGAAGCATTCATAGCCAGTTCATTTGCTTCCTTTTTGGTCTCACAAAAGACAATGGTCCGCCCCTGGCTGCCACTGTAGACCTGAATGATATCCCCAAGAACTCCTGCTCTCTGAGATGACCGACATTGTATAGCCAAGTGCTGTTTGGGAAAGAAACATGGTAAGCACCTATGTTAAATCTAACCCACGTGCAGACAAAATGAATGCAAAAAGATTTTTTTTTTTTTTTTAAGCTTGCAAACTACTGCCCCCATAGGAAAGCTTTGCTTAAAATACTTGCATCAATTGTGTGAAACGTCATTCCACATCCCCATTTGTAAAGCCAATGCAGAACCCATCTCCTCCAGGCCACATGCTCTCAGGACCTGCCGCTGCTCTGCAGCAGAATTACTCACTTCCACAGTTGTGGCAGTCCTTTGAGTCTTCTTTCCGATCAGGTCAATCTGTACATATTCATCTTTCATGTATTTTTTTGCCACATCATATACCCATCGCGGACAAGTTGCGGAAAACAGCAGTGTCTGGGGGTTGTTCTCAGAACCTGGAAGGAAAAGCCATCAATTTCAGTCATCACAGCAGACTCTGAAACTTGAGAACTGATATAAAAAAGCAACAGAGTTACTCTGAAATTGAGAGGTTTACATGTGCAGTAAGTCAGCTACAAGAAGAAAACTTAGAAGCAGTGAAAACATTTTTCATGGACCAAACCGAATCCTTCATCCTGCCCGAAAAGAAATACAAGACACATTTCTAGATCATTTGCTAAAAATTATTTAGACCATGCTCAAAGCCCTTCCCACATACCTTAAAGAACTCGTCACAATCCCTCCTTGCCTGGTATTCCAATACTAACTAGCTGTGAACAGTACGGCTACGTGCAAAGGAAAAAGGCAGGCTGAAAAGGACACTCTGCAGACTGGGGGGAAGAATTCTAAAACAAGATAGATTGCCCCAGGTAAGAACAGTTTAACAAACAATATCTTGTAAAAGTTTAACCTACCTCCAGATCTCCACAGGATCATACAGAAACAAAGACATATTGCAAAAGAACACTAATATTCCCTACAATCTATTTTCCAGTTATGAAGAAAATTTTTAGGATTGAGTAATTATGACAACTCTTTCAAAACCTATATAGATTTCCTTTTTTAGAAGATTATCTGTACTTTTTGGCTGTCAGGGCGAAGACCAATTCTGCAGAAATGGGGAGAATGCAACAATCAAGGAAAAACGACAGTGGCTGTACTGGGTCAAACCTAAGATCCATGAAGCTCATATACTCTCTCCAATAGCAGTCACGTGTAGTTAACAAAGATATGAAGAAACTCTGCCAGCAACCAGCTTTTTGCGGCTTCCAGACCCAGAAGTGATACCCTTGTTTTCAGTAATGCTTGGTATTTCTACTTTCGGTAATTCATCAAGTCACTTTGCAAAACTTCTGGCATTAGTACAACGCAGCAAGGAATTTCGCACTATTAAAATAACCTTCTTCTGCTCTGTACCTGCTACCTGGTGGCTTCACTGAATGCCCGTAACATCAGAAAAGAGCAAATATTCCCTAGTCGTCAACTTTGTGTGATGACGCGTGTGCAAACACACCATAAGCCTAACCCTATGCTCAGTCACCTCTCAGGATGAAGAATACTAGGGCTCAGGGAGTTGGGTTTGTTGCTTTTTTGCTTCCCCTCCACTTCCAGAGATGCCATTCCAGCCCTTCAGCCATCTGTCACCTTGCTTTGAACTTTTTCCAGTTCTACCTTGCTGTTTTCTCTGAGGTTCAACACTAGCATTCCACAAAGGATTCAAGCTGGGGGTGCACCAGCAGTTTTCATAGTATAATTGCATTTTCTGCATTGTCCCGTCTTCCTCTCCTGATGTCAGAATTTACCTTTTTTATAAGCAAATCCTAAGATTTCTTCCACTTGTTCAGCAAAGCCCATGTCTAACATGTGATCAACTTCGTCCAACACAACATGCTTCACACCAGAAAGTTCCAGCTTGCTATTCTGAATGTGGTCTTTGATCCGTCCAGGAGTTCCCACTAGAATATCAATGCCACTTTTAAGGAGATCAACTGGAAGAAAAGACAGAAAAACAAGGACAGTGTCAGAATGCTAAGAGACAACAAGGTAAAAAGCTACCAGTACATAGCAACACTTCTAATTTTAGAACCAAAAAGCTACTGCCCTTCACTCCTAATCTCTGAATAAAGCACTATGTCCAGTCCGGATAACAAACAAGTACGTTTAACAGCAGCCCAAGTTGCTCTGTCAGGAATACTAGCTAAACCACAAGCAGAGTTACAGCAAGATACTCCAACTTCCTAGCACCAATGAACCAGCATTAGAAACCTTCAGAGCTTTATCATAGAAATACGCTTGTTTTCCAGCTAAATTCTTCCTCACAGCTACCTCTGAAGAGAGACAGAGCCACATGCACATACACAGTTCTTTTTTTCCTTGGACAGTTGTCTAGTCCCAGTATATGTCCACACGCAAACACACAATAAAGAAGAAACTGAAAGGACTAGTCACTTTCACACCTACAACCATTCTTTTAAATAAAGATTTATTGGAACTAAAATAATTCAACCCAGGTTTCCTTTGAAAACAATGTAATGGATCCTGACTGCAGTGAAACTGAGGGGGAGAAAAGCCAGTTTTATTCACGGAATGCATTTGGAGAACGTCAACTCCAATCCAGTAATAACACCTTAGTGTTTACTTACGCTGTTCTTTATATGGAGTTCCTCCATAAAAACAAGCCACTGACAGTTTCCTGGTGAGATTCTTGAAGTCTTTGGCTACCTGAGTGGCCAATTCCCTAGTTGGAACAAGAACCAGCACCTGGAGGGAGTGAAAAGAGACAAAAATACATACTCTAGCCATATATCCTCCTCCACCTACCCACCTTCCTTCAGTGTCTATCCCTCCCCCCCCATTTTCTTTTAACAATTGAATAATAAAACAAAGAGCTGAATTCTTCTCTAGAAATCTTTCAGACAATAAAATTTTAAAACTTACATCACTTTTAAAGTTAACAAAATAGAAGGATGAAGTAGGCAACAAATCTGCAGACTGTTAACAGTTTTTCAGTCTAATGGTAAATATACACACTTCATTTGCACTTCATTTGCATGGGAATATGGTATCTGATCACAGGTATCTGGTTACTAATTCCATCTCATGCTTAAGTAGAAATGTAAACACCACTTGCATCCATTAAGTCGAGTCTCCAGACATGAAGGAAAAATTAAAAAAAAAAACCAAAAGCCTTCAGTTATCACTATGGAATTTATAGTGAGAAACAACCTCAGTGAATGCAGACAAGTCCAGCTGACTCGACCACTACCTGAGAAGAGGCAGGGGATTCAACCCCAAAGCCGCAGGCTAACTTCCTGAGGATAGCAGCCTCCCAAATAAGGTCACAAGGAACCCTAAAAGTGAAACGTGTGATGCTGCAAAACCTGTCACATGGTAGCTCCTTATCTGATGAAAGTCTTCAGTATTACAAACATCAACAAAGGAGAAAGAAGTCCCCAAAATCTCCAAAGCAATTACAAAAATCGCTTTTCAATTACAAAATCACTTTTGAAAACTTCCATATTCTAACTTAAGTAGTAAGTTACCTTTGGTGAACGGCCTCTTCTCCCATCTTGCGAGACACTCTGAAGTTTTTCTGTCAGCGGAACAGCAAAAGAATAGGTTTTCCCAGTTCCTGTTCGAGCTTGAGCAATTAGGTCTTTGCCATCATATATGGGCTGAAAAGTCTTCACTTGCACAGGGAACAGGTATTTTACACCTCGAGCTGTAAATAATCCAAAGAGGTTTTATTAAAAGGTGCTGATTCTACCACAAGCTGAACAAACAACTAGAAGCCCTCATATCTAACTACCCCGAATACATAGGACACATCATGTCAAATCCTGTACACAATAGAAAGTGCAAGTTAGAAGAAATATACATCTCTGTGTTTTCTCTCCTACTCTAGATCATAAAGTATTCCCCCTTACGCACGCAGCTGAGTACTCACCAAGAAATAAAGCCTTCTTTATGATGTTTGGCATAAGATAATCAGAGGGAAAGGAGATGATTTTGTGGTAGCTTGAGTTTGAGGGCAGGGGAGGAGGTGAGGGTGTTTAAAATATTCTAAAACTTTAGAGAGATTTTGCACAGTGGACATCAAACAATCCATCCTAGAGAAACTTCCAAGCAAGGAAAATGTAAAGCAACTAGAATTTTGTCTGGAAAACAAGAATTGCAGTTTCCCAACACAGAGAACAACAAGAACTCTACAGTGGTTATGTTCACAGCAAAACTAATCTAGAATAGATATGAAAATGCCCAAAATATGAGAATAATCAGAGACAATCTATTCACAGGAGCCAAACAGTCCTCATATAGGAAACACCATTAACCTTTTTAAGAATGGATATTCTAGACAGCAGATACCAGAATAAAGATACATAGCAAGTAAAATGATGCTGGTGAGAAGACAGTGTCTCTAAAACATATAGGTAGGAATAACCGCACCATGAAAGAACAAACTTGCCTTAAAATGCCAGAACTTGACATGGAACAAAACAGAAACTCGGTTCCTACTAACAATAGATTCTTTGAATCTACAGTGACCACTCGTGCGCATTTTTACTCCACAATAAATGTAAGAATTTAGGACAATTTACCCTTGGCTTCTGTCTCTGCTTGCATGGGTAACCGAATGCAATTCTGGACAAACATTTACAGAAATTTCTTTTGCCACATTAACTAACCTTTGAGAAGGTTGATGGTGTTTTGGGAGAGAGGAAAATTGGAGAAGGCGCCTTCTTTTGCTTCTTCTGTCAGCTCCTAACAGGATAAAAGGAAAAAAACCAAAACAACTTATTTCTCCTAAGAGATGAGCAAATAACATACCCTATGAAAAACTGCGCATTTACTTTATCACTGCAGTTTCACCAGCTACATCCCTTCTGTTTAAAGAGAAAGAAAATCCTTGTGATGCAAGTATTCCACAAACGAAAACACCATCACACTGTAAAGTGGGAAATTTGAATCCAGCCACCCTGTATTAGAAGACAGGACGCACTGACACAGGCTGCACCACTCAGTGAGACAGAATTCCTACAAGCAAATTCTGGTTTTACAGCAGTCTTAAGTAAAAATTTCCTGCCAAAGGTCTTCCTGCTCTTGTTACCTTCAATAACTTGTTCAAAACCACAGCTACTGCTATCTCATCCCTAATTCAGATACACCTGCACCACCTTTTAAGACCCCTGGCAAACAAAAGGGAACAACTGCCCTCTTCCATGTAATCTTACCACATCGTGAACATATGCTTGGCAAGTCAGAAAAGCAAAACTAGTTGTTAAAAATCTTAACTGGAGTCCACTGAAACGATTAGAAAACCCTTTTTAACAACAAAACATATTTGGTGTCACAATCCACGGCATGAAGCAGGAATTTTCCTCTAAATCACACCTACTCGGTACACCATGCAAACAGCTTAACTTTGCACACCAGCAGACGCTTACTTGAAACTCACTATTTAGCCTCTACTTCAAAGATCCATGAGATCACATCATTACACCCAAGGTACAAAAAAGCACTCTCTTGACTCACACTCCCATCTTAAACACAAGAGAGAAACAACCCGCAGAAAGCCCTACACAGGGGCAGGGCAGCTGCAGGGCCCCCTCACATGCAAGTGAAATCTGAACAGGGAGAACTGCAGAAGCGGGAATTAAGGAGGATAACTGTGACCTTCCCTTACAGGACACGTTGCCAAATACTTCTTCTAAGGGCCTGCCAGGAGAGAAAGTGCCGTCACAGCAACAAAGCAGCACACATTTGTGGGACAGTGACTGCCTGCACAGCCGGGAGAAACCCTCGCACTGCAGAACACAAAACGAGTTGCTACAAGAAGACGAGCTAGCACACAGAAACTGCTCCCTGCTAGCTAGCCCCCTCCACTGCAGGATAAACTACTCCACACGGCTTGGCATTTACCACGAGGGGAAAATCGTGACAAGGAGAGATGTCTGGTGCATGTACCGCTGCGCTTCACCCA